TTGCAGATGCCACACGATGAAACAACGAGAGCAATGCAATAGACATTAACGAAAATGGTGGTTGTGGTAGTGTTTGCTTAAAGATTGTGATGCAAAAATTGCATGTGGTTATCTAGGGACAACAACCCTGTTGTGGTTGATTGAAGAGAGAGATATGTTGAAACGTATGAGTTATGTTAAAAAATAATTAATATATTTTAATTGACCTATCATTCATCGAGCTTTTAAGTGTAGATGAGTCAAATTGAATATATTGACGAGCTCGGATTTTAGCTCCTTCTTAATAATCTTGCTACCTAAAGGTATTAGAGCCAATGGTTCCACTAGGTATCTGTGTTTGATAAGGGCCTCTTTCAGGAGCCTTCATGGTTCAGTCTGATGACGAAGGTAAGTGTTGTTGTGTGATAATGCGAGGGAGCAGACTTGATCAAGTGATATATCTTAGTCGGCCCAACTCTTGGATTTAAGCTTTTGAATGAAAGTGAGTATATTGATGGGTTCGAGCTTAGGTTCCTTCTTTGTGATCTATGAAAGTATTGGGTTTATATTGCGCACTCAAGCTTTTATGGTTCAGTCTAGCGAAAGAGACGAAAGTAGGCGTTGTGGGGTAGTAACCCGAGGGAGTAAACTTGATGCAAGATCCGTAATTAAAGTTAAATGGAAGCATAGCTAACCCGAAGCCGTAGGTGGCTCATAACTCTTGAGCGAAAATGAGTATATGATGGGTTTTAACTTTGGTTCCTTCTTGGTAATCTCTGAAGTTATTAGGTTTCTACTGTTCGCTCTGGTTGCCACCACTTCTAATGTTTATATGTTTGGTGAATCTTGAGGTGAATGTGAGCATTGTGGTATAGTAACGCAGTCCCGGTGGCAACCTCCATAGTTCGATCGAAAAGAAGAGATTAGAGATGTAGGAGGTCGTCGCCTGCTGCATGCTTTGGTTGTTACCACTCCCAATGTGTGTTCAATGAAAGAAGGAATTTCATGAACAGTGTGGTTTCCTGGCCTTCATGGCTCAATATGGTGAAAGAGAACTGAGGTGAAGGTGGGCATTATGGTGTAAAAACTTGCTCCCAATGGTAACCTTCAGAGTTTGGTCTATAAAAAGAGATTATATATAAATGTGGATATTCTTCTTGTGGCGATTGGCACACGCAACAAAGTAGAGATTTTAATCAAGACATGGTGATGCAAAATGATGCCTGACTTAATAGGGAGCAAACTTGATGCAAAAGAATACCTAAATTTAGAGAGGGCAAACCTAATAATGAGCTTACACGTGAGAATGACATTGTTAAACAGCATATGTGAGCTGTGTTGAAAAAGTTTCACGTAGAAGAGTTGGCGTGGTGTGAAACAGTTAATATATCTTAGGCTCCGTTCGTTTGGCGGAAAATATTCTCCTTTTGAAAAATATTTTTCCGGAAGTCATTTTCCTGGAAAATGTTTTCCCGGAACATAATTTTCCGGTGTTCGGTGATCAATATGAAAAAGTTTCGGAAAATATTTTTCGCCGGCGGCGGCAGCGGCGGCCGGAGGCGGCGGTGGCCGGCGACCTTAGTGAAGAAGAAGAAGAAGAAGCTCCGGAAAATGATTTCCGCTTTTGAAGAAGCGGAAATCATTTTCCATAGACTTAGGCTATTTTGTGAAGGGGGAAGGAAAATATTTTCCCACGGAAAACGTTTTCCGCCCCCCGAACACCGGAAAACCCGGAAAATATTTTCCGGGAGAATATTTTCCGCCAAACGAACGGAGCCTTAGTAAGTTTATAACTCATTGGCTTGAAGTTTTCGAGTGAAGGTGAGTTCAACTAGATATATTGACGGATTTAGACTTGATGTCCGTCTCTTGGCGATCTCCTGGGATGAAGGTATCGGGTTTCCGCTGCGCAGAGTTGCAACAATTGTGTGGGGTTGCTCGAGAGCGATGACCGTCCTGCAATGGTTGCTTGCGGTGTCGCCATCGGTGTCCATGGTGGTATTGACCGTGGCGCGACAAGAAAAATGAACTGCACGAAGGAAATAATTGCTAGCAATGTCGCCATCAAAGTGCAATCTTGATATTCCTGCGTTCTATATTCCAATACTACTTGCCAAACTTGTTGAAATGTTACTATCATCTTGGGCTAATCTCGTGATAAATTAAAATAAAATGATTATCGAATTGTAACAGTTGATGAGTGTTGCATGACATCATCTAATACGCTAGGCTGAGCTTGGGGTGCCGGGCACAGGATCTTCCCGTGCCTAGACCGGGTTCGATTGGCCTAGGCCCAATTTTGTGTCCAAAAAAATAAATTTGTTTTCAATATTAAAAATAATCAAATAATCAATCAAGGAAAATCAATGATGAACAATCATTCAATTAAACCAAACTAAATTGCATGTACATTTTCAAGTAATTTGACAAAAAACACAAATTATACCACGAACGGTGCCCTAATAACGAATTAACGATAACACACAAATTATACCAAGAAGAGCGTCGAACAAATTCGATGTCTTTTGCACAGTGTCGTTGTGCTCCCGTTCACGCTGGGCACGTTTGTAAATTGTTTAATTTTTTTCTTTGGTAAAAGAAGGGGCAACGAAAAGTAAATTTTCTATTTGATTACTTAATAAAAAAAAAATCAGTTCGATTCAGATGACAAATTTGAATTTTTTTCCAATACTCTGGTCACTTATGTACGAGTCTGATTTTTATTTTTTTTTGAGAAGTCTTCTATTTTAAACTTTTTTCTTTACAATTTGAAGGGCTCTCAATAATTTAACTTCAATTTTGTGCAAAATAGTTAAAATATTTTGAAATATACGAATACTGACTCGTAAGATAATGTTTAATTTTTTTTAAATTTTTTTTGGTCAAAATTTTTAAAGTTTTTTTTCCAAATTCGGCTGGGAATTGTTTTTGAATTTATTTTTCAGCGGCAATAAATTTGCGGGGGCACCTTGCTTAATGTCGTTATGGAGACGACGACAGAAAAAAGGAGCGAAGACAAAAAAAACTCCCTAAAAAAATCAAATTCCAGAATCCCCAGAAGCTTGCTCGCTCCCGCGTCGTCACGGTTCGTCCTCCTCTTCGACGGCGAGACTTGGGCGGGAGATCGGAAGAGCGAGCTCGAACGAGCAAGGCGAGACCTTCGACTCCGTCTCCTTCCGTCGACGATCGCTCGATCGCGATCGGACACGGCGATCGTCTACTTTCTCCGGCCGAACGCGCGCGGTTTTCTCGACGAGGCCTCCGCGCGAGTGTTCGGTCTGAAGCTGATTTTATTTTGGAGCGGGAAGCGCGGGGGAAAGGGGCGTAAGTTAACTCGGAGAATTTTCAGGTGTTCTTTCTGATCAGGGCGTGCCTTCGTTATGATGCATTGGCGTTCGCTCTATTAGATGATGCTTCAATCAGTTCCTTGAGAGCCTGCAACTTCCGATGGTTTGTTCGGAGTGATGTTCTTTTTTGGGTCCTCAGTTTTGTTTGGGTTCACGGTTCTTGTAGAGTCCGACCGATCGTTTGATTCCAAAATGTAGAAACGCGCGAATGATTACCTAAGTCATGACTTTGGGTGTCGTATTTCGAATGTCGTTGAGATTTGATTAGCAGATGTTTGAATAAAGGTTTCAACTGACATATGGGCCTATGGCTTCTAAACTCTTGCTTTTGGGTGGGAAGTTTAAATTCGTTCTTTTAGTGGTTTGCTCAGGTTCCCTGGGAAGAGCGACGCGGCACTCCACACACGAAGGGTTATCTTTACTTTTAGATTTCAAAAGGACTTAATCAAACATGGGGTGGTTTGCTACACCCGACATCATGGTAGATTCATGATAGGCCCTTATGTTATCTTTGTTTTCTTTGGTGGTAGTAGCTGTTCGATTCTTTTGTAAAATGTTGCCATTTTTCAGACAATGTCTAGTCGGAAAAGAAAATGTCGGTAATCTCTTTGTTTAATTTTAAATCATTTACTATTTTTGATGGTTAGAATAGTTTTTTATTTCGATGCTGTTTTGATACTGGTATGAAACCTAGATGCTGCCTCTGCACGTGTAGCTGTATCTGTTGCATACGGTTGAGACTGAATAATTGCAGAGTTAGGCTTAGAAACAGCAATAGGGAGGATCCATATGACAAAATCTCAGTCATTTAGTTCTCTTATAGTCTTGTCTTTAGTAGTTCTTGTTACAAAACCTTACAGGAGCAGAAACTAATGGGGATTGGGCCCATATGTGTAAACTCTCCACACTGGATTCCCCAAAATTCGGAAGTGAATATACCTTGCCTAACTTCAGATCTTGTGCCCCTTCCTAAGCTCTGTGAACCCTATTTTTCTTGAATGAAGAATATTACAGATAACTATATGGCATGCAAGCTAATGACTTAATATGAGATGCTAAAGAGAAATATGATTGATGTGAATTTTCAGAATTTAAGAATGAGGATCAAATATCAGTTTATTGAAACAACAAAATAGATAGCTAATATTATTTGAAGACCACAAGTATAATGATTTTTGGAAGTGGAGATTATGTGTACTTCTCCAATATCTTTTCTCTGGAAGCTGAGAACGCAATGTTGAACCTCTAAATTCAAATCTTGCATCCCCTTCCTAAGCTCCATGAGCCATTCCCGTTTCTTGCATGTGAAGAATGCCAGGCCAGTAGATGACATACCAGTTGATGACTAAATCCTTTCCACAATGATTGCTTGTAATTCGACTACCTTGGCTACCGAGCCCTGATATGGGAGGTCATTCCTTTTGCAGATCTGGGTCTGCAAATACTTCCCCAACTCTCCAGCAATTTGACAGAGCTACGAGCTGCAATATTGAAGAAGATAAATAAACTGTTTTGGGTTTTGACCAAAGTATGGAAGACGACTTTCATTAATTCAATTAGGATGCCCTTTCGTTGTTGGAACTATGAAGAGCTTACCTCTTTCTTGAGGACATTTTCTGTAGAAAGAGACTGCAAGTATTCTCAGTCCCCTTCCTTACCAAAAAAAAAAAGTATTCTCAGTCCCCTGGTAAATGAAATTTCATAGGAGTTCTTCATCTTGCTTGATTAGAAATTAAAGATGATAGGGATGCTCGATGATTATTGAATTTTGATTTGCTTGGGCACACAGATTCAGGCTGTGCATTTTAATTGAAAAAGTGCACTGGAAGTTCTGAATGTTGTGTAAAGTGCACAAGACCTTCTGCTGGATATTGCTTATGTGGCAACTTGAGAGGGTGCCATGTAGGAGAAATCAGAGATGTTTTGATTTGAAGGATTTGATTGAAATTTTTCAAAAAGGTTTAGACTTGATTGCATCAATTGAAATATAAAGGATTTGAGTGCATTTCACATATGAGGCTTAGGACTCTTGGTGCAATTTTTTCCAATTTTCAACATAGCCAAACCTCTCTCTAGAAATAAAATATAAAAGCTTTAGCTATAACTATAGATTGATGTAGCATGCTTCAGTTGTGATGGCACCAGATGAAGATGGAACTGTAAATTGTTTAGAATCAAAGGCTTGGAAGTAATAGAAAATTCTAATGACAGATTAGTTGAGTTAGATGAGAGTTTATCTCCTGTAATTGCTATCTTTGGCTGATTTAAAGGTGTTGGATGCTCTAAGAAGTCATTACAGGAAAAATAAAGTTTTCTGCATTATTCCATGTGATTTATAGCTAGTTTAGTTAAGTTAGATGTGATTTATAACTAGAATTTCTTTAGTTAAGTTAGATGAGAGTTTAGGATCTGAATGCATTCCATAGACGAAGCTTATGACTTTTGGTGCAATTTTCCCGATGTTTGACACAGCTTACCTCTCTCTAGAAATAAAGGAATTCTAATAAGCTTTTGCTATAACTATGATGCATGCTTCAATTGTGATCGCACCAGATGAAGTTGGAACTGAAAATTGCTTAGAATCAGAAGCTAGAAAGTAATAGGAAATGCTAATGACAGATTAGTTAAGGTAGATGAGAGTTTATCTTCTGATGGTTTGAAGGTGTTTGATGCTCTAGGAAGTCATCACAGAAAAAATTCTGCATCAGTACTGATAGATTTGAGGCTTCCATGTGATTTAAAGCTAGATTAGTTAAGTAAGATGAGAGTTTATCTCATGTAATTGCTATCTTCTGCTGGTTTGGAGGTGTTTGATACTATAGGAAGTCATTACAAAAAGAAATTTTCTGCATCAGGCTTCAATGTGATTTATAACTGTACTTTGACATGTCAGGCATTAGAGGTGATCATCCTGTTCCTGAATGTGACTAGTAGGGAAACATTTGTAATATCACTTAGATTTAGCGCCATAACTATAACATAATTTCAATCTAATAAATGGACAGCTATGGAACTGTACTTTATAATGTTTTCCTGGCATCTCATCCTCCGATATTCTATTTTGCCATATTGAAAGATATTAAAGTCAGTTTACGGAAGAACGATGTTTTTTTTTTATTCAGATTGACAGCCGTTGCTATTGAAAAACTTAGGTACCTCTAAGGTACCTTCTTGTTAAACTGACTGATCTTCATATCAAATTAAAATGTCATAAGCCAAGTAGGACTTGGTGCAACTCACTGTCTATTACCAGATCATCTATTGCCATTCTGCCTTGCGTTAGAATATTGAATGCGACGGGGCCTTCACGGGCTTCGTGCAATTCCAAGATTCTTTCTTAGCTGGGATAAAAGATTCTTTAAAGTAGATTAAGCTGAAACTTAAGTTGCTGAGTTAGCTGTAATGATGTGTCCACTATAAGGGTTGTAATTCATCTGTACTGGATTTTCAGTTATCAAATTTCCATATAGTTTCGTACAATTAGCTCCTTGAATGATTTAACATTTCATTGAGACAACTTTTTCCTTTAAAGTATAGCCTGTGGGGCAGCTTGTGGATGGGATAAGATTATCAGATGACACAGGAAATCCAGTGGAGGCTTGTTTCTTATTTATTAAGCTATGACCTTAAGACCAACCAGAAACTTTAAATCAAAATATGTGCAGGACCCATATTATAGAGTTAGTTTTGGACCGGTAGTTGTTATATCTTTTCTTTTTTCCCTCTAGAGAAGTTTTGAGTCATTTTCACTCCTGCAGTTACTTTTATGTGGAAACTACACCGTCTTATGGGAGATGATTGAGTTTTATAATGGAAGAATAACTTTCATGGTCGGGACCTCTTTCTGTAAACAGTCTCATCTACTAAATGTGTGGCAGTTAGACAGTATTCAGTGGATTCACTAATTATGTCATTGAAATGTCAAGATTCATGATGGATGGTTTGTGAAGAAATGCGATTGCCTTTTTTCCTGTTCTTAATTGGTATTACATATACTGAACATTAATAGTTCTGAAATTTTACTCATGGAGGTGATGCTGCCACGCAATCATAGTAACTGCAGCATTCAGTGCATGGAGTACTAATAATAATATGAAACATGGATGTTATATGGAAAGGCTGAAAGCATTACATGACATCCTTACCCTGAATGGATGCTGAAGTGGATGATTTGCTCATGTCAAGGGACATGAACGGATTGAGACATCCAGGATGCCAATAGAACAGTGGTACATGGTACACGATTACATTCTCTAAATATTAGTTGATAGATTTATGTTCTTTGAAAGACAGGCACCATTGATCATCAGAATGGTTAGTCTTATTTTAATAGTTGTTATAGCCTTTCTCCCTCCCTCTCTCTCTCTCTCTCTCTCTCTCTCTCTCTCTTCACACAGATATGGGTCGTTTCATTTCAATTCCCAACACATGTTTTGGCAAGTTGTTATCTTGTGCCCACCTCTTCCCTTTCTCACATGCAGAGAACACGCGGAGAGAAAAATTCTTGTCATAGTTCAATTACCATTGGGGGACAAAGCAAAGTGGAGAATCCATTTTCCCCTTAAAGCTTGAATGACCTCTAGGTGAAGAACGAAGCATTCATGAATGAGTGACACTAAAGTGTATTGCACTCTTCAGATCTCCTTAAAGAATAACCTACTCCACAAAATCTGTTAGCATTTATTCCATCTCATTATATTGCATTATTTGGTCCTGCATGGCAATCTGTGGTAGTAGCTTTTCACCTGCTGTCCAAAACAACCATTTCATCTACTCTTCAATAACTACCTGTCTCCCAAAGTTGGATAGGTTCTTAGGAGCTTTTGTCTGAAGCATGATCCCACAACCTTCCTGGAAACATTGCTATACAGATTGCTGTGCTATCCTTATTTGACTCGATTTTCGGTGAAACAGCATCGAAATTGAATGATCTTTCCACATGTTGTGGGCCCAATGGCTCCTTTAGAGTCCCAATTACCTTCCCATTTCGTGTCGTGTTTGGATTTTTTTATCAGCTTGTTGATTGGAAATTTCTAATTGAATATTTTTTTATTAGTATCAGACATGACCAAACTTTATCAGAAAACTTATACGTGTAAGTACAAATTCTTGTGTAAACATGGTTTTGGCTGCTTGGAAGATTGCTTCAATACGCAAAACCTTGTAAGGTAATAGGCTACCAACTTTTCTGGGGTTTCGCCAGAATTTCTCAACAAAAGTTTCACATAAGGTTTATGAAACTAAGGTTGCGTGCTCTTCTTCGATTCCGTCATGTTTCTATGAAGGTGCTGACCACCTTCTCTGCGATTTTCCTGTACTTATATTGTAGACAAGTGATTATTCTTGTGTATGCTACTCTTAGAATGACATAATTCTGAAATGGCTAATACAGTACTGTCTAGAAGGACAAAGGGAATGAATACAGCCATGGTGCACGAAGAAAGACCATACATGGTGATCAAAATTGACCAAACTTTAATTGAACCTCTCTCTCTCTCTCTCTCTCTCTCTCTCTCTCTCTCTCTCTCTCTCTCTCTCTCTCTCTCTCTCTCTCTCTCTCTCTCTCTCCAGTGTGCATGTGCGCGCGCACGCTTGCATTTGTGCTTGTGCTGGGGTGGGGCGGTGCATACGGAGAGGGCCTGTCTTGCAATTGGAAATTGAGTCTTGAGGTGCCTATGTTCTCGCCTTAAGTATGCGAGATATTTGCTACATAAGTAAGGATTGACATTTGGTTCTGCGATCCATCCATTTTCACCCGTGCCTTTTATTGCGTGGGAGTTTGCAGGATGCATTTGCATATCAGTTGCCTGTAAAGTGCATTTGTATTACTCTGGGCAAGCACCATTTTGGTGCATTAGTTACATCATTAATACTTCTTTGAAAGCCGACCTCTGCTTTCTGCTCATAGGCTTTCTCTCTTCTATCCTAGGCCTCAAACTTTCATTACCTAACTCAGTAGAATTTTAGCTTAGCTAGTTAATTCTTCTATTTTATCTGAATATTCCATATTCTGAGTTTTGCAACCTGCAAGCACAACTGGATAGACAACTACAAGGGATTAGAAAAAGACTGAACATAAAGAAAGCAAAGATACCCCTTTTCTGGCAGATTTCTGGGCTATTCTCTCTCTTTTTTTTTTTTCCCTTTTTGTTGACAGGTTATGCTTTTTCTTAGGATGGATAAAGTGGAGGGAGAATTTCAAAAGAAACTCCAATCAACTAGTACTATTATTGCTACTAGGTTTTGCTTGGCTCATGTGATTGCTTCATGGTATCTACCATTCCTAACTACATTTTCCCCCAGAGCACGTGGGAAATGAAGACAAAATGCAAATTATGAGGAGGTGATTTGAATTGCGGATCGAGTTAATCATAACCCATATGGCACCAAAACTTTAATTATGGATGGCGATGGATCATGATGGCATGGGTGAATTCTTTTCTGGTCTAGTTTTTATAAGTAATATCGATGTCAATAATCAGTAAACAAAGGAAATGAGAATCTCTACTCTTCAAGAAAGAATATTGCTGGAAAGTCTATGTCATAGTGTTTGTGTGTCTGTATATATATATATATATTTATTTATTTTTTTCTGGAGCTTTTATTTGACGGTCCACTGCGTGCTTCACTAATTGTTATTCACATGAAGCTGAGGTCCAGCAAATTTTGAACAGGAAGATAAGAAATGGTAGGAGACAGCATTTAGTATTTACACTGGTTCTGCTGTTTCCTGACACCCAAAGCTTGCCGGTCAACCATGAAGTATGTATTCTAGTATTTTTTTTTTTTCCTTCCTTTTTGTTACGCATGTGTTTGTCTTTTTCATGGGGGAGGGATGGAGATATTTAAGGGGGAAAAGTTGCTGCTTGAATCTGCTGGTGATTCGAATTAAGAGGGTGGCAATTTGCTTCGTGTCATGTCATTAGTGTTGACTATTCGTGTTATCTTGTGTTAGCATCAAAATGCTTTGTCGTGACAACAAAGTGCTTTCTTTTTCTCTTTTCGATAAGTTAGGTTATCCTTTTCATTCCAACCGGAGAGAATGGGAGGACTAGATCCCATTACACACACACACCGGTATTCATTAAATGCCAACGAAACAACTACACATTGAATCAACGATTCTATGAAACGAGAAATTACAAGCTAAGTATTCATTGAGATTCAAGGTAGTGCGCATTTCAAAGCTCAGCTGACTATCAAAGGGTGTGCACATTCCAATTCAAGCGTATTGATTTATGTCAATTTCGCATCAAGCTGTATCGTGTTGGGTTTGAGCTTTTCTAGTAAATCTATGTGTCATGTTAGGAATCGCCACCCTTAATTTTCAATCCATTTTTCTAAGGATACGTTTATTTCGGAGAAAATAGATCATTTGAAAAATATTTTCCTAAAAATGATTGCTTGTATCGTTTACATAAATACATGAATGATAAATATTTTCATTGTCTATGAAAACCTTTACATATAAATTATTGTTGCTAATGAAAATAAAATTCATCAACTAATTATTTCAAGCGATACAAATAATCATTTTTTAGAAAATAGTTTTCAAATCATTTTTATGTCGCGAAACAAACGAAGCTTAAGTTTTAGTCCATGAGACAAATTTTAAAGGGCACATCCCAATTTTTGGGCACCCAAATATTTCATCACGGAAAGAGGAAAATGGTTAATATTCTTCTTGTACCATGCTTTTAGAAAGAGAGCGTGGGAATAGAAATCCATAATTTTTGCTTAGATGGAGTCAACTTCGAAATATTCTAAACTTCAGAGCTCTGCAATGTCCCCAAAAGGGATGAGATTAGCCACGCTGACTGGGATGACTTGCATGTAATCTCTGCTTGCCATGACCCTTCCTTACCCAAAGGCAAACACATCACTTTCATGGACCTCATCTCAGCTATATAATCTAATACCAATTAGGAAATCTTGTAAAAAACACACTCCTAGAATGAAAAATTTAAATAGTTTTGAGTCCATTTCCTTTTTATGCAGGATGATGTCACTGTGGAATATTATATTGGTCATATAATATATGGCTCATGGAGGATTTGACTTATCCCCCCATTTTGGTGAAGGAATTCTTAAAATTTATGAAAAGCTTGGAGGCAAACCCATCAATTGCATTCACTTCTTTCAACCCTTTAAATGATATAAAGACAGGAAGAAATATAAATAAATAGCCATCCAACTGGAGGCCACACGGTTTCACACACTACAATGCATCGGTCAATCTTGACCTTTCTGTCAAAACTACACCCACGAGCTGCTTGTCAATGCCGGCTCGGCTGTGGGCATTGAGCTGCCGCTGCAGCTGACTCTATTCACGTTCTTGTTTATTTTTCATCCTTCGTCTTGCAATTGTCCTAGACTCATACGTGAAGCAGCCTAGCAGACATAACAGGAAGGAGAACAAAAAAACAAAAGGACTGTCATCAGTTTAGTGGAGATAATTCTTGGATTATCCATTGTTCAAAGCAAATCACGTTGGGTTTAGACATTGAATATTCACGTTCTTGTTTATTTTTCATCCTTCGTCCTGCAATTGTCATAGACTCATACGTGAAGCAGCAGCCTAGCAGACATAACAGGAAGGAGGACAAAAAAACAAAGGGATTGTCATCAGTTGAATGGAGATAATTCTTGGATTAGCCATTGTTCAAAGCAAATCACGTTGGGTTTAGACATTGAATATTCTGCACCAGTGCAATGTAGAAAACTTTTGCTGATTTGTATGTAGATAGATGATTAATGTATATCTTCACTGAATCATCTTCAAAAGCGTAAAGCGATTGCTGTCGGGGAAGATTGACCCGCATCTCTCTGATGGTTGATCTTCAAAGTAAAGTTAAAGGAATCCGTCGCGGTGGTACGGTATCGAGAAGCACGGGCGATTGCTTCGAGCATGTTTTGAGGCGGCGATATATAGTTCAGGTTGATGTTAGGAGTCGTGCATGTACAGGAGCGTTATGACCATTAGGTTTGAATAAGTGGGGGCAAAAGACAATAAGCAGCATCTAAGCAGCAATGCGTTCAAAGGTTGCTTCAGCTGAAAAGAAAAGAATGCCGAAAGCCGCCTTCGATAGGGAAAGAATCATCACCTGTGAGAAAGATGTTGTCCGCGCAAATGTTTTCGTCGGAAATCGAGGGAAAAATTGCTTCAACTTGAAGTTAAATAATCCCCATATTACGATCCACTGGTCTCTCTTTGGTAAACTACTGGTCTCTCTTGGTAAACTACGTCAAATAACACAGTTCAAAGATGGTTAATAGCTATCCATTACACTCCGAAGCAGCTTGGATGGCCTGAAGGATTTTCCAAGTTCCCTTCCTCGTTTTATTATTACAATTCCTTATGGTCAATCATCAAGGGTTATAATCCTGATTTTTAGTTTGATTAAGTTCATTTACCAGCCTTTCGAAATCTTAGACCAGATCAAGTGCTGTAGCATTCGCAATCAAATATCGAACAAATCAATTGGATTTACGGTTTCAACTGTTAAATCCGACAAGAGGAGCTCGAGATATGCGAACGCACTGGTCTTTCGAAGTGTCACAATACGAAGCATAAATGCATTAACAAATTTGACATCGAATCTCCCCCAGAGGTGTCGTTTGGAGATATTTTGGCGATACCCTTCAGGTTTTCTTTCTTCTCAGCTGAATCAGCGGGCTGACTTTACTCCATTCTTGGGCAATTACCGATACGAAAAGTATGCATTGATAGGACTTTATCGATTCAAAAGTCTGACCTTCTGTTTAGTTATAACGAGAAGATGAGGACCATGAGGTATTTCAAGAGTAGAGGACAAGTAAACTTTTGAGTTGAAATCTGAGAGGCTTAGATCAATTATGTCCTGAGAGAATCTTACACATCCACAGTACAAGCTACGTTAGGGGGAAGTTTGCCCCTACGTCTATTGCACCCTAAAGTAGTCACCCTCTTTGCTAATGGAAAAAGTTTTCTTTTGGTCTTAGAACAGTTTGCGCAATTAGGGAAATTATCCGGTCAATCCTAGTATATTGTACGGATGCCGGTTTAATCCTAAATTTGTCAATTTTTTCAATTTACTCTTGAACCTTCGTGTGAAATTGAGTCCCTCCGGTCAATTTTCACAATAAATTGCTAACGAGGCAGTGTGCCACGTACGACGACCGGTAATAACTTGACCGCCACATCATTTTGGCAAGGGTTTAAGACTAAATTAACAAAATTGAAAAATTTAGGATTAAATTGGTATCTATACGATAGGTTTAGAGCTGGTTGGATTATTTTCCCTTGCGTGTGATGAAGAGAGAATCTAGTCCAATTGCATAGATCATGTAGTTAGGCAAGGTTTATGTTCTTTGCTCTACAATATCCGCTATAAAATTTCACAAAAGAGAAAATTACTCAATCAGTCCTGAAAGGTGATGGAAATATCTTCATAACTACCTTATGGCCTTATATTTTAGGGTGGACGCAATTGCCGCATGCGATGACAGGAACTCAAGGCATCTAAGGGTGTGTTTGATAACTTACCAAATAGTGACTGATCTATTCTTTTGTTCCAAGAACAAAAAAAGAACATAAATCCGTTTGGTAAATTTTTTATTTTCGGGCACAAATTTGCATAAATTTATTCTCAGAATCAGTTTTGAAACAGAATCAAGAAGCAAAAAAAGTGGAAAAGAAATTTTTGGGAACAAGAAGCAAAAAGCTGCTTCTTGATTTTGGGAACAAGAATAAAAAGTGGAAAAGAAATTTTTTTTTCTTCTTCTTCTTCTTGGTTTTCTTCCTAGCCCGTGGCTGGTCGCAGACTGCCAGCCACCGGCCACAGGCCAGGGTCGGTGAGGGCCTCCCTAGCCGGATCTGGCGAGAGTGGCGGCGAGGGTCCAGCCCTGGCCGGCCCTGGCCTGTGGCCGGTCGTCGGCGCCGGCGACTTGGCCATGGGCCAAGGAAGGGGAAGAAGAAGAAAAAAAAAGGAAAAAAAAGACAAAGAAATATTAAAAAATTCAAAATATTATTAATAAAAAGAAATTTTGTGCGGTTACCAAACGCATTTCTGGTCCTTTTCTATTCCAAGAATATAAATTTTGGGCAGTTACAAAACGCCTTCAAATATTTAGAAATTATTTTCGAAAATGAAATAAAAAAGAATTATTTCTGTGCAGAAATTATTTTCGAAAATAAAATGATTACCAAACACACCCTAAGAATACGGTCCTTAGCCCACACATTTGGCCAGGAATACTCAAGAAGTCATTATTTTCATACCAATCCAAACCTACCTTAGCCGAAGCCGAGTAGCCCAAAGCCTCGGAGCCACGAAAACAAAGGGCGGGGGAAAAATCGAACTGAAAATACCGTTGTAGTTGTGAGATTCAACCGCTTAAAGTTAGTTGCATGTCCTCTTCTTCCCCTCTTCTCCTCCCTCTCTTTCTCAGCTGTTCCCTAAATATCTAACAGTCAACTCCTAACAGCCCTCTCTCTCTCTCTCTCTCTCTCTCTCTCTCTCTCTCTCTCTCTCTGTGTCAGACATGAGCGAAGCAGAAGAGTAAAGAAGGAAGGAAGGAAGAGAGAAAGGAAAGCCCTCCACTTCGTTTTGTTTTATATCCTTAAATCTGTCAGACCCCACACCCTTCTCGCTCTCCCTCTCTCTCTCTCTCGAGCACAACGAATGTTCATCGCCTCCACCATTGGTGTTGTCTAACATGTTGCCTCCTCCATAAAACAAAAACCACCACCCCCCTTCCCACAACATATTCTCCCTCGAGACTGCCATGGGCGTCGTCGACATGTCGAATAACAATCCCCCCACCTCTCGCACCAAGGACTTCTTCGCCTCTCCCGCTCTCTCTCTCAGCCTCGTAACACCTCTCTCTCTCTCTCTCTCTCTCTCTCTTTCTCTCTCTCTTTCGCATTCATCTTCAGCTTGCGCATGTCTTGCTGCTGCTGGTGCTTCTTCTTTTGCTGTTCGATTGTATTGGTTGTGATTTTCTGTTGGGTTAGGCCGGGATTTTTCGAGATGCGGGGGCGGCGGCGGCGGCCTCGGCCAGCATGGACGTGGAGGAGGGGGACGAGGGGAGCGGAGGAGGAGGAGGAGGAGGGAGGAGGGAGGACACGGTTGAGATCAGCAGCGAGAACTCGGGCCCCGCCAGGTCCAGATCGGATGACGAGTTCGATCCGGACGGGGACAACGAAGAGGACGGCGGCGGCGACGGCGACAAGAGCAAGAAGAAGAAGCGGAAGAAGTACCACCGCCACACGGCCGAGCAGATCCGCGAAATGGAAGCGTATGTGTACAGTTTTCCTATACTCCAATACGTGTGGTATATAGAATAAAAAGAACACTAGGATCATAAGGATCAATCAAGAGCATAACAAATGGTTTAACGCCTTAATATGAAATTGTCGATAATAAATGTTTCTGCATGTTCTAGGCAATAAATTTATGTAGTTGGTCGTACAATGATGCTCAAGTTTTTGATTGTCTCGAGACTCTCCAATATAAGACTGGGAAATGACACTGTCTAAGACTCATTGATTAGCGTGTAAAATGTATAGTACTTTACCGTGTAGTCCTGTACCATACATATATACGTATGCATACCCGGAAAGCTTCTTATAAGAAAAAAAAGGAAAAAAAAAAGTTAGCGACGTGCATGCATGCTTTTTCTGGGAACTAACGGAAAACCAAAAGAGCAGTTCTTGACCTGCTTTTGTTCTTTGTTTGAGAAAGGTCCTCAATAGCTATGGCGATGCAGCATGCACTGACCATTTTTTTTTTCTATTGCTTCTGAGTACGATTGCCACCGAGATTTGTACTTATATATATATATATAGAGGTTCAAGCTCATTGGGTATTTGTGCAGACACTTGGATCACAAAATTAGCTTTGAATTCATCTTTCATTAAGTTAACATGCATTTGATGGGGAAATTTTTAATAGGTTGTTCAAGGAGTCGCCACATCCAGACGAAAAGCAAAGGCAACAATTGAGCAAACAGCTAGGACTCGCTCCTAGGCAAGTCAAGTTCTGGTTCCAGAACCGCAGAACGCAACTTAAGGTTCGTACCATCGTAATTTTCTCTTCCAATTAGGTCCATCTCAATCGATTCTCGATGACGGGCACAGAGTGCCCATTTTGATCAATTTCATTCGTTGGAGAATGTTGGGTTTTTCGAAACTTCGTGTCTAATTGTCATTGTTCTCAAGGTTGTTTTAGTGTTCGATTTTGTAGGGGTCCTTACAAGATCAAATGAAAGCTTTCATTTTTGGTAATTTTTCTCTCTTGTGATGGGACTTTGGAAATGGCAATAACAAAAATGCAGGCAATTCAAGAGCGCCATGAGAATTCTCTGCTGAAAACAGAAATGGAGAAGCTCAGAGATGAGAACAAAGTCATGAGAGAGACCATCCAGAAGTCTTGCTGCCCCAATTGTGGCTCAGCCACCACAAGCAGAGACACCGCCTTGACAACTCAGGAGCAGCAACTGCGAATCGAAAATGCTCGACTAAAAGCCGAGGTTTGGAAATTTTCCGCCTTTTGGTTGTCGAATTCTCTACGGATCAATGCAATTTGCGCATCTTCCTTAACATTTTGAGCCCATCTTCTGTATATTCTCGCACTTATAGGTCGAGAAGCTCCGAGCAGCTCTAGGAAAGTACTCTCCGGGGACGGCGTCGCCTTCGTGCTCGGCCGGGAATGACCAAGAGAACAGGAGCTCCTTGGATTTTTACACCGGAATCTTCGGGCTCGAGAAGTCGAGGATCATGGAGTTGGTGAACCAAGCGATGGAAGAGCTCAAGAAGATGGCTACTGCTGGAGAGCCGCTTTGGATTAGGAGCGTCGAGACCGGCCGCGAGATACTCAATTACGACGAGTACATGAAGGAGTTCAAGGTCGAAGCCCCGAGCGAGGGCAGGCCCAAGAGATCTATCGAAGCCTCGAGAGAGACCGGGGTCGTGTTCGTCGACCTTCCCCGCCTAGTGCAAAGTTTCCTGGACGTGGTAAGCCAACTACACCGACGACGATTTCCTAGTTTTGAATGACTAAAATGAAAACTGAGTAATGCATCGATACAGCAGTAAGATCCTCCATTCTTTTTCTGTTTCCCTAGCGTTTTGACTGATATTCTTTTTCTATGTTCTTGGGTTCATCCGATACATACGTAGAATCAATGGAAGGAGATGTTTCCTTCCATGATCTCGAAGGCAGCAACCGTGGATGTCATTTGCAGCGGTGAAGGCGCCAACAGAAACGGCGCCGTGCAATTGGTGAGTCATGTGGGAAATATAGAGAATCATACTTTGCTTTTCTTCTGATCCTGAGCTCAGTTGGGCCAATTTCTCTTCAATGGAGATCCCAAGACGTTATCTTCACAATCAAACCATGGCATTTACCGTATGATGAGATGCAACTCTCCCTTCTGTCCTTTTTTCCATGTGGTCCCGTCACATAAATAACAGCCACCGGTGTGAATATTGGTCATATCAACTTTTTCCCCTGTTGCAACCAAGCTCAACTGAAGGTCAAAAGTCACCTTTGAAAATCTCCGAAGTTCGAAAATGAATTTCTGCATAGGGACTAGAAAACAAAGCCCCTTTGGAGAAAATTTCTCATGAAGAAATCAGTCTCTTTGACTATCTTTCTCCACCTCTCCATTCTCATTACGACCTTTGCCCAGGGCCTAGAGGCTGCGAGAAAATTGTTTGTCAGCAGTAGTGGACTTGTGTGTTCAGGAATTTTCCAAGAGAAGAAAGTGCTGGGTAGGATAGGATGAGATGAGATCCTGGTTTTTTACAGCGAATGTTTTTGCAGATGTTTGCAGAGCTGCAGATGCTCACACCGATGGTGCCCACGAGGGAGGTGTACTTCGTCAGATACTGCAAGCAGCTCAGCGCAGAGCAGTGGGCTTTGGTCGATGTCTCCATCGAAAAAGTCGAAGACAACATCGATGCCTCTCTCGTGAAGTGCAGGAAACGCCCGTCCGGTTGCATCGTTGAAGATAAATCCAACGGCCATTGTAAGGTAAGAAGGAAAGATCGGGCATTTATCGCCTACTTTCTCCGTGCGATTTACAGTGATAGTCGAGTGTCAGATGCTAGAAGATGAAACTTTGGTTGCTTCCCCGACTAGATATGAACGATTTCGTACGATGTTATGAAATTTTCAGGTGATCTGGGTAGAGCACTTGGAGTGCCAGAAATCGACCGTTCACCCCATGTACCGTACCATCGTTAACAGCGGCCTGGCCTTTGGCGCGAGGCACTGGATGGCGACGCTGCAACTCCAGTGCGAGCGGCTCGTTTTCTTTATGGCGACTAATGTTCCCACCAAAGATTCGAATGGTAAGCATTAACGCACTTGCGTTCCTGTCGATACCTCCGATCCTAGCGGGTAAGAATGTTAATCAAGACTTTCTTGCAGGTGTTGCCACACTTGCAGGCAGGAAAAGCATTTTGAGGCTGGCACAGAGGATGACGCAGAGCTTTTGTCACGCCATCGGAGCATCGAGCTTTCACAGCTGGACCAAGGTCCCAGGTAAAACGGGAGAGGACATTAGGGTGGCTTCGAGGAAGAATCTGAATGATCCCGGAGAGCCTCAAGGGGTGATCCTATGCGCAGTTTCCTCCGTACTATTGCCAGTCTCGCCCCACGTATTGTTTGACTTCCTCAGAGATGAAGCTCGCCGTAACGAGGTTTAACCACAAGAACCTTTGTAAATCTAACCTAACTATGCATGAAATGTCAGGCATAAATTGACTAAAACTGTTGTTGTGTGAATTTCAGTGGGATATCATGTCGAGTGGAAGCCCGGTACAGTCCATTGCTAATTTAGCGAAAGGGCAAGATCGCGGCAATGCAGTCAACATCCAAGTAAGTTTCTTTAGTTAGTTCTGCTCGTTCCTAATCAAGAGTTGATCAGCTAGTTTCTAATTCTTCGAATTATCTGCTTCGCAATTGCAGACAATGAAATCTAAAGACAACAGCATGTGGGTACTTCAGGATAGCTGTACAAATGCTTACGAATCTATGGTGGTCTATGCTGCGGTGGACATCACAGGAATGCAAGCAGTGATGACTGGCTGCGACTCTAGCAACATTGCCGCACTGCCATCCGGTTTCTCGATCCTGCCCGATGGGCTTGAGTCGAGGCCTCTAGTCATCAGCTCTAGGCACGAGGAGAAGAGCTCGGAAGGAGGATCACTGCTCACAATAGCTTTTCAAATCCTAACAAATACCTCTCCCACAGCCAAGTTAACTGTGGAGTCTGTGGAGTCTGTCAACACTCTCATATCCTGTACATTGCGGAATATTAGAACGAGCTTGCAATGTGAGGATGGCTGATAACTGAAGTTTCATTTAAGTAGATAGGGATAGTCAACTGTACAACTAATAGGGTGGAGAAAAATTAGCAGTTTCAAAAGCAATGGCTTTTCATTTGTTCTTTGGTTGGATTGGAAGGCTTGGCTTGGTTTTAAGCATGTTTTTAAGCAGAAAGTGGTGACTGGCGGGCAAGAGAGAAAGAAGAAGTTTTGTTATTTATGATCGGTTGAATCAACAGCACAACATTATATTCTTCCTGTATATAACTGCTGTTGATATTGTATGGTTCAGGGATCTTTTACCCTTTCTTTCAGGGTTTCTTGAGGGATATTATGCAGGATAAGCTACTTAATCCAAACCCTGCATCATCAACAGTCTACTTACTGCTTTGCAATGACAGGGAATTGCATTACCATACGCAATCCTGAAACATCATTGGCTTTGGAAGTGTCAGAAGATACAGTGCAATCTAGTGGTTTCTATGCACTAACACACATTCTGATGAACTACAACAGCACATTAGCACTACAAATTAAAGCAGTACTAAATAATAACTCCTCAACGCATATCATATTTGCGAGTTGCATCGCTGCGGACACTATGCCAGTGACTCCACTTTCATTATGGAATAACAATGTATACAATTCTTCTGTAGAGATAGCGAACACGTCTTAAGGAATGACTCGCATAAGTTTTTGTACGAGTCTCCGATTCTTAGGTCGGATTAAGCACTCACATAAACAAGAAAACCGAATGACCAAATCACAAGATTGATCCGATTCAGGTTACAAACACTGTCTCATCGGCATTTCATCAAACACTTGCGTCACTTTTCTCCCTGAAGGAGCTGAACGCATCTAGCCATTGCAAGTTCAAGCCACCAGGTGGGTCGAACAGGCACTAACCCCTTGACAAACACCACTTCATCCGTGAAAAGAAGACACAAAAGTGGTCGACGCCGAACCTCCTTATTTCAAACCTCATCCAAATGGCGTCTAGCTCAGTCGTCTCGTTACGCAGCTCAATTCAGATCCAAATTCCACTATACTCAATCACGAAGTTCGTCGAAATACAATTCAGCACATTACAGATAACAGGAATTCGGAAAAAGGGAAAGAAAGAATTCATGCTTAAGCAGCGAGAATTTCCGACAATGAACCTCAAATTCCAACCCTATTGCTGACCCTGCGACTCCAACGGCAGGCCAAGCTCGCCCTCCCCATCCCCATCCCCATCCCCATCCCCGCCGCTCTTGCTCACCGCCCTCACGTTCCTGGCGGCGATCGGGACGGCGAGGAAGGTCTTGGTCTTGCTGATGGGGCGGCTCTTCTCGAGCTGGACGACGTCGCCGACCTTGAACCGGTTCTCGGGGTCGTGGGCCTGGTACTTCTTCTTCTTCCTCACGCGGCGCTTGTACTTGGGGTGTGGGGCGAGGCGGGTGACCTCGACGGCGACGGTCTTGTCGCTGGTGGCGCAGACGACGCGGCCCTGCAGGGTGCGCATGGCCCGGATGGGGGGCAGGGAAGTGACGGGCGGGCGGGACGCGGGGAGCGAGAGGGAGGCGGGCTTCGCGAGGAGAGAGAGCGGGGTGGTCCCATGGAGGAAGGTGGTGGTGGCGGCAGCGGCGGCGGCGCCGGTGGCGGTGGTGGAGAGTTTGAGGGAGTGGAGAGGGTGGAGGAGAGAGGAGGTGTGAGACATGGTTGTTGGTTGAGTGTAAGAGCGAGACTGGATGAAGAAGATGATAAGACGGAGGCGCTCTTCGAATGCCTTTGGGAAAATCACACAAATCGCCCCCAATTTTATCCCAGTATGCAATTTAGTCTATAAATTTTTAATTTATTCAATATAGTTCATGAACTTTAGCCTAATATATAATATAATCCCTAAAATTTTAATAATTCAATATGCAATGTGATCCCTAAATTTTTAATTTGTCTAATATCGTCCCTAAACTTGAATAGTTTAGGGACTACACTAAACATTTTTATATAGTTTAGGGACTAGTCCAGGAATCATATTGAACGAATAAAAAGTTTAGAAATCATATTTAATATTAAGCTAAAGTTCAGATATTATATTGAACAAATTAAAAATTTATGGATCATATTGCACGTGGGATCAAAATTCAGTTACCACTCGCGTCATTATCTCAATATCTTTTGTTTTCTTCTTTCAATTTTATCCAAATGGGCCTGCAGGACATGATCCAATATTGGCCTATTCGACCAAAAAAATAAAGGCCCATTAAAGAGGCATGGGCCTATACCATAAGGCCCATATAAGGGGTTCGAAGGCTCAAGGCGGATCTCGGATCCGATCAATGGGCGGGCCGGGTTTTAGGATCACGGAAGAATCGCCAAAATGGATAGGCTTATCCACCTCCGACCGTCCCCGCACCACACAGAGGTGCCCTCGTGTATCTCTCTCCGACAAGTAGACTCCGCCACGTGGCGAGCCGAGACTTCAGCAGCTGATAAAGATCCAGCTGAATGTAAAAACACCGAGATCAAGGAGGAGCACGGAGATGGCGTCGTCACTCGCAACCTTAGCTGCTGTTCAACCGGTCGCCGTGAAGGGCCTCGGCGGGAGCTCCCTCGCCGGAACGAAGCTCCACGTGAAGCCCGCTCGCCGGAGCTTCAGACCCAGAAGCATCAAGTAATGAACTTGCTCAAAAAAGTCCACAGTTGTTAGGCACGTTCCTCATCCTTTTTATCTGTTTGTGTGTGTCCCTTTATTAAAAAGAGATTTATCTCGCGTGTAATGTATGATGGAAGGAGTGGTGGAGTGGTGGCCAAGTATGGGGACAAGAGCGTGTACTTTGACTTGGAAGATTTGGGCAACACCACTGGTCAGTGGGACTTGTATGGATCCGATGCAGCTTCCCCATACAACCCTCTTCAGGTTCGAGTCTCTACTCGCTCTAGTTGATTGATTTCTCTTCATTCTCTTTCGTGTTTTCTGTTGGGGAATTTCGAAATGATGATGATCCTTGAGAAGAGTCAGATAATCAGTGGATAGTCCTGGTGTTGATCATCCGGTGACAAATGCGTCTCTCTCGCGTAAAAACACGTCGAATAGACTTGTTCTAATGGGGTGATGCGACGGACATAACTAATAAAAGTTCATGAAACGTAGGAGAACTAGTGTTTCTTGCTGGACAGAGTGTTAGTTGAGCAGTTTCTTGATACATGATTGATTTGATCTCGTATAATGAGTCTATTTCTCGGATAGGCGGTTCACTAGAGCCCACCCAAGAGAAGGGAAGAATGTGCTACTTCCTTATGACGGCATTATTAAGAGCGAGTTGATCTTGTGTGCAAACTACACATTTAGGCTGAAGAGGTGTTGTCGCGATCAGAGTGTCTGTCTCGTAATGTTTCGTCACTTCACTTATATAGCTTTGGATGTATTGGGTAATTAAGCTCATGTCATGTTCCCGGATACTGCAGAGCAAATTCTTCGAGACATTCGTGGGTCCATTCACCAAGAGAGGCCTGCTGCTTAAGTTCTTGATCCTGGCAGGCGGTTCTACCCTTGCTTACTTCAGCGCCACGGTTTCGGGCGACATCTTGCCAATCAAGAAGGGCCCACAACTCCCACCAAAGTTGGGGCCGCGCGGCAAGATCTGATTTCAATTCGAGGTTTCGATCTTTCGGTCTCTTTGGTGTATGTATCCATTTGTACACTTCTGAAAGTCGTAAGCCGCCTTATGTGATTATTAAAAATCGTCTCATTGATATGTAACATGTAATGCCATGGTACGTTTAATCATGACAGGGTTTCTCTTCTCTCTATGCCATCACCAACCAATGTTTTTACTTCCTGTTTATAGTTCTGCAACATTACAACAGTTAGATTGCCTTGTGATAGTTTCTCTATCTAGCATAAAGTTATTCTAGAGGCAGCCATTGCCAATAACTTGGGAAGGTTTATCGTACCTCTCTCGTGTTACTGTAGTTAGGAGATAAATCATGAACTATCACATGCTGAGCCTGCAGATGGCGATGGTTAAGAGATCCGATCGGATCGCTCGTAGGAAAACATCCGAAAGCTAAACAAAAGGGTTCATTGAGTAGGCAGGCCACAAAGTTACAAAGCTGCTTTGCTCATAAAGTCAAGCATGTAGTATGCTTTTCTCTATTTACATGAAGAAGAAGAAGAAAACTAATAGCTACTCTCAAACCCGTTCAGGGTCCTGACACAGACAGATTGCCGGTTCTATTTACTCTCCGATGTCTCTCTTTTTTCTCTGTGCTTTTCCCTAACCTTCTCTCTTCATACTATTGTCACTAATGTCGTGCGGTCGGGCTTCTTAGACCCCCCGCGCGCTCAAGCTTTTCTATGTAAGAAAACTTCTTGGGCGTCCCTACACTAAAAAATTTATTCGTATGCTTTCCATCGCCGTCTTTTGGCAGCTCATCGCCTCCTAGGTCCTTCAAATTGGCGTCTCCTTGATCCAAACTCCACCCCATAAAATCTGATAGGGTCATCGAAGACGGAGTCCTCGGAGAAGCGAGGTTCTCCATATCTTCCCGTGGCGAGGAGAAACTCTCTGACTCCGTGACCGGGGAAGAATCTCTGAACCCGTTCTTCTTGGCCGTTGCTTGTGATGGATTTTGTGCAACATAGTCGGCATGTAGGACATCTTCGACCCTCGACATGACCGTGAAAGCCAAGCTCTCAAGTACCCTTGAATAGCTCTCTAAAATAGCTTGACCTACATCCTGTAAAACCAACCTCCATCAGGTCATCAGTATCATTCGGATGTCATGATAATTTTGGAAGCATAAACACATCGGATAAACAAGTAGTCGAATTTTTACCCTGTTACATTGGATTTTGCTGATGTCGAGCGCCGACTGGGGAAGTCCCGGGAACTGTTGCTTGAGGAGGAGTAAGATGGTCTCGGCTCTTTCCTCAAAGAGCTCTCTCTTCTCCATGCTCACAGCCGAGCCCCAAGATGATTTCCCGTCCTTGTGGGTCATCTTCCTCTTCCATATCACAATTGAAGCCTCGATCCTGTTCTTCAGGTCCAGAATCTTGTGCTCGGACGTTAAATCCATTGCAGAGAGGAACTGCTCAGGGTCGAAGAAGTCCACCGTAATGCTCTTATAGATTAAATCTCCGAGGCTCACCCTTCCATTCTTCAGATCAAAAGCAACAGCGAGGATTAGTAAAACGATGCAGGGTCGTGCTTTCTTAATCATGTTGAGTTTCTCTAGCAACATATCTCTGCATTAGTTACCTTAGGTAGGGATTCGATGTAGCTATCAGGAATTTCCATCTCGGACAGAACTTGCGCGTTTATAGCCATGGCCGCTTTGAGCACCTGATTCACAGAATCCTTTTGGAACTGTAACCATTTCCGCGACGCTTCGGAGAGGCCCTCTGGAGGAACTTTGACCGTAGGAAGCCACCATTTGTCATCCATCGTCTTTTTCTCGGATTGGTCATCATCTTTCGGGACATAATAGAACTCATTTTGGTCCCTGAAGTTGTCTAGACAATCCTGCACCACATAACGCCATAGTAATCGGTGTCAATGTACTAGATAGAATAATTGACAATATGAAACCTTCAAATTATTTTTTACTTACAATAAGCATGGCATCCAATTTGCGCAGCGCCGGGATGTTCATGTGCAGATCCGTACGCTGCTTCGTCACCATTATCTATCAAACCGAACAAAGAAGGATATCATTGGGTTAATATGTTTAGGGACAGAGGGAAAGTGGAAAGAGAGGGTGAGAGAGATCGTGATCGTTACCTCCATATTCATCCCGTTCGTTTTCTGTTGAGAAGGAACGAATTCGACAATGTGGTCGGTGACTGATAAAAGCCAATCGATTTCCTTCTTCCACCTTGCTCTTGTGTCGGGCGACATTGGCTCTAGACCTTTTTGCTCACCAAACACAGAAGCTGTTTCACATTCAACAGATCAACATCAGACCATTCGAGCATCACAAATATCAGAACCGAGAATATTGGAGGGAAATTCATTGGCTTGTTTATTGGAATTCTTCATTTTTACATTGTCATTGATTCTTGGGGATGATTATGATCGTAATGTGGCAAGATGAACAAGGAAGAGAAACCAACTAACATATTTACCTGCAAGATTGGTGATGGCATTTGACAATGCCAAAGCTGAAGAAACACCTTTGCCTCCACCAGACATGTCCTCTCCCAAAAGCAGCTTGGCAAATCTTTCCTTCATCAGTTCCACGTCTGAAGAAACAAGAATGAAATTCATGAAAAAATTCACTCGGCATACAGTTCGAATCATGGTGATTTGCGAATCGAATGCGCGAATCTTTTCTGGAAAACAGCAGTCCTAATCTCCAAAACTCACCTGAAGGGTGCTTGTCCTTTCCGTCTTCGCGGGACAATCGCGACTTGGCGACCTTATCATTGGTCCGGTGGAGCGACCAATCCCCATTGGGGTGATCGACGCTCATGGTCCTGGCGTGGAGGCCCGTGGCTTCGCGCATCCCCTTGTGATGGAACACCCTAGAGTACCTATATATCTCCTGCTCTTGCTCAATGGCCCTGACCATCTTTAATCAGTGGAAATGCAACCTCGGATCAAGATGAGCTGGGGAACTTCGAGCAACGGGGGCGGTGTCGAGTTGAGTTTGAGGAAGAACACAACCATGGAAATTGTCAAACCCTTTTTTAAGAATGAACAACTTCTCAAGTTGTGCGAGGGGGACAAGTTAGGGGAGGAGGCCAAGACCGACACAACGTGTGGTGAGATGAGATGAGAGAGAGACAGAGAGGCCAGATTCTTGGGATTTTCTGGGGAGAGTTGACAAGAAATGGAGATGATTTGCCTGATTATTTTTTGGGGTGTGTTTTTTTTCCCTTTCTAGTGTTTGACTTCGAACGTGGGGTGCATGTTGGGGAGGCTTTGGGATGTTTTTAGGAGATGGTGCATGAATTTCAGTGAATTTTAGGATTTGGTATTTTCGAGAACGTTTCTCCATCGCATTCTATTGATAGGGGGGAACCCAATTTTTAAGGACACGAGAGGAAACCGGCAAAGACATGCAAGCCTGACCACCCCCTCTTCTCTGCTTAGTTTGATATAATAAACTCACCTAAAAATAAGATGATGACTTCTCTCTGGAAAAGGACATCAACTGAGGAATGCTTCAAGAAGGTTTCTCCCAAAGCTTTAGAGAAGGGTTTGGCCGACGGCCCCCCGGGAGAGCAAAATAAGACCTCATGGCCACATTTGTATTCGTAAAGGTTACTCAAATGCAGCTCGATTTGTTGATTGTTCACGCGAATGTTGCTCGGTATATCAACCGTCGAGACTGTTGAGACATTAATAGTAAAAATTCGGGAAAACTTATTTAAAAGGTCCTAAACTTATTATACGGAGGTCAATTTAGTCCTAAATATTTTAATTATATCAATTTAGTCCTAAATTTTTTGACTACTTGTCAATGTAATCCTTTCGACCAAATATCCAAATAATAGGTTTAGGACTGAATTAGCAAAATTTCAAAAGTTTTAGGGCTCAAATTGATACTAAGAATGGTTTAGGACTAAATTGGCAAATCGTCAAAATGTTTAATATAATTGGTACAATTGAAAGGTTTATGACTAAATTGGCTGTCGTATGCTAAGTTTAGGAGTTTCTAAATAATTATCCCATGTTAATTCAATTCGGGACAATGATTTTTTTAATCTACAAAGTATCTAGCTAGGTAGACAAACCGGACGTGTGAAAACAAACCTTCACTACTTGGGGGAAGTGATGAACAGCTTTGCGCCTAACAAAGGGGGAAGGGATGATATTCTGATTTTAGGAAAGTGGGAGGAGGAGGAGGATACATCATGTATACATCATGCACAAGTGTATGGACTCATCTTCATTCCAACTAAATATATATTTTTCTTGTTAGACAAATAAATTTTGTTAGAAGCACCGACAATTTTGGTACTTGGTTGTTAAAAACAATTATGGGGAAGGTGAAAAAGATACATAGGAGGGATTAAATAAAAGACTGTGAGATAATTTTGATTTCCCGTTTTATAATTAAAACTATTAGTATTATAGATCCATCGGAGAAAAAGAAATTTGGCACGACCATAACAGCCCCCAAACTCGCTTCGGGATCACTTCAAAAGAAAAAGTCGGGAGAAAATTTTTCGACCCGCATTGCCAATATATTTCCTCAATTCATTGTTTGCGTCATCTATTTTCTAAACCTACAATTTGCACCTCGAGTTCTCTCATTCATGGGGTTTATAGATTGGATCGGACCTAGTGCCAGATGTAAAATTCCTCATTTTAATTTACTCGATTAAAAGAAAGAAATATTTCCATTATAAAATTGACCAAGTCTAGATGGGCTTTGGGCCAGCTGAGCTTAAAACGGAATTGGTTGCCCAAGCCCGGGCGAGCAAATCGGGTAGGTAGCTCGACCCGGTCCAATTCTGCTATATTAGTTCAAGTGGCTCCCCCCATACAGTCAAACCTAACAGGCTAAGTTATTCTTTGAAGAAAGTTTTAGGGATAATTACATAAAGATCTCCTAAATTTTGACATTGAATATTTTCATATAGGTCCAGAGATTAGATTGAACATTTATCAAAAGTTCAGGGATCACATTGTAAATTAGGTTAAAATTCAGGGATTTGTAATTTTCATATAGGTCAATGTCTGTATTATTTTTTTGGATGGGATAATGACATAAACGATCCATAAACTTTGACCTGGTGTACAATGTAGTCCCTAAACTTTTAGTACATGTTTAACTTAGTTCTCGAACTACATGAATATTGAACATTTTCATAAAATTCAAGAACTAAATTGAACATGTACTAAAAGTCCATGGATTACGTTGAACAAATTGAAAGTTCAGAGTCCACATTGCACACTGAGCTATAGTTCAGAGATCACATCGAACAAATTAAAAGTCCATAAATCACATTGTACATTAACCCAAAATCCAGAGACCATTTGTGTCACTTTCCCTTCTTGGAGTTTTATAACAATTGTCAGGCAAGCTAGGGCGAGGCATGATAGGGTTGGTGTCAGGTTTGGATCGCCCTGAACATCGGACCTGTAATTTCAGCTGGATCCCATCAATTTTTTTCCATTTTCTCAAATCGATTGTCGTAGTCGTATGACTCGTATCGGAATTATTAACAAATCAACTTCTGAAAAGTACTATAATATTTGCCAATAGGGGCGTGAGAGCCCGCCCAGGAAATTGGACCGACCCGAGGTGAGGAACAAAACCCGAAAAATTTTAAAAAAATATTGGAAAAAGAAAGAAAACAGAAGCTACCGGAACGACGTCGGATGTTTCGGTTCAAGTCAAGAATCTCTCGCGATGCCACGCCAGCATCGCCGGTCGACATTTTTGTCGTGATCCTCTCCGCCGCTCCCCCCCACACACAAGGCCCGATGAGCGCAGACCGCAAGACTAAACTCTGCAGCCAGCCACAGAACGGCAAACCTTCCCAGCCATACAGCAGCAGGAGGAGGAGGAGGAAACGCCGTAATCGCTTTCGCTTCCCCTCTTCCTCCGAATCCGCCGCCTACCCAGAAGCCGAGACGCCCCAATCCTCCGGAAAAACCCGGACTTGCTTCGACCCACATCGGCCATGGACTCGATCGGCGTCCTCCTGACCTGCCCCATGTTACCCTACCTCCAGCAGGAGCTCGAGAAGCGCTTCCGCCTCTTCGAGTTCTGGCAGTTCCCCCAGAGGACCCAGTTCCTCGAGGAGCACTCCGGCTCCATCCGCGCCGTCGTCGGCAACATCTCGGCCGGCGCCGACGCCGAGCTGATCGAGGCCCTCCCCAAGCTGGAGATCGTCGCCAGCTACAGCGTCGGGCTGGACAAGATCGACCTGGGGAAGTGCCGGGAGAAGGGGATCAGGGTGACCAACACCCCCGATGTGTTGACCGAGGACGTGGCGGACCTGGTGATCGGGCTGTGCCTGGCCGTGCTGAGGAGGATTTGCGCGAGCGATAAGTACGTGAGGAGTGGCGAGTGGAAGAAGGGGGACTTTAAGTTGACCACCAAGGTTCGTTTTTTTATTGAAAATTCGGCATTTCTTATGTGGGTGGTAGATTATTTGGTTGAGTCTGATGGTGTGATGTTTAAGGGACGGATTGTTGTGTTTCTTGGTGTGTGTAATTGATGGTCGCGTATTCGTAGCGCTAAGAAAGGAATTTTGTTTGGTAATTTGCGGCTTGAAAGAAAATGTCCAAATTTGATTGTGTTAAATATGGAAGATAAGAACTTGGGTCATGCTATTGGGTTTGCAATTTTTTAGCTGCAGAAAGTTTTCTTTTTTCCCTGCTGCTTTAGGAAACGGGGGGATGCAAAAGTTTTAAAAGAAAACATGTTTTTGGGTTGATCTGGCTCGCTAAAAGATGAGAATTTCAGCATTGCTATGATGAAAAGTTGAAGATATAAAACACAAGCATGGCAAACTCGTGGTACTTCACATTTGCCTTTCTAGAAGCTGGGGTGGGAATGTTTGCTGCACTATGAATTAAATTTGCATGTGTAGATAGTGGAAATGGCCCAAGCGATGCTATACCATTTTTTCTCACTTTTTACTACAGGGGAATGCTTGCTGCATAGTGCTGAGAGATATTGATGCTTTTGGGTTGGATGTCATTTGGTGTTCTCTGTTGGGTCCTGAGTTGTTTTTCTTTCTGCTGACTTTTTAGGTACTTCTGGTACTACTTTATACACGAGCCACATACTCTTATCTGGAGTTGGTTGATGATGAGTCTGGTTGATTTGCCTCTTATCTCTAATATGTTTGTTTGTTTACCATTTATTACATTGCTTGGCCCTTCTCTGAGTTTATTCTGTTAGATGCAAGCTTCAAAATTTCTTGGAGCACGTGTTGCCTTGGGCTGTAAAAGGATTGGTTAGGAGTTTGTGGAGACTGGCACAATATGCTCATGTTCAGGGTTCATTGAGATTCACCAAAATTACTTGGCCTTGTCATTTCAGTTCTCAATTGAAATGATATGGACATTTTTTCCGTTGGAAGCTGATTAATTATGCAAGTGGAGTTCATTTACTTAATATGCAAGGCTTCTGTGCTGTTTCAGGGGCATTTAACCACTGGTGCCCCTATGTGCACAGCTAATTCATGTATATGCATATTATTGTGGACTGGCATGATGGGAGTAGGTTCGAGGGAATATTGCTTTCCTTCAAACAGAGAAGTAAAAAAAATTTCCATCATTCCATTCAATGATTGATCATTTAGGGTGTTTAAGTTTATGATAATCCAATGGAATCACGAGGTCATCTAAATATCTAAAGTGAAAATGTTTCTCCATATCATGCCTTTTCTTTTGTGTGTTTATAATCTCTTGATCTTTTTGAGCAATGAAGATAATTTGCTGGGTTCATGAGTAATATTTGAACTTATTTTCTTTCAGTTCACTGGAAAAACAGTTGGAATCATTGGATTGGGCAGGATAGGCACAGCAATAGCCAAGAGAGCTGAAGCATTTGACTGTCCGATCAGTTACTGCTCCAGAACAGTGAAACCAGATTGCAAATACAAATACTATCCTAGTGTAGTTGAACTGGCCTCCAATTGCCATATCCTAATTGTTGCATGCCCTCTCACGCCGGAGACACACCACATCATCAACCGCGAGGTCATCGATGCATTAGGCCCCAAGGGTGTTCTCATCAACATTGGTCGAGGCCCACATGTTGATGAACCCGAGCTCGTATCGGCGCTGGTGGAAGGCCGATTGGGTGGGGCTGGGCTTGATGTGTTTGAACATGAGCCTGAAGTGCCCGAAGAGCTTTTTGGGCTTGAGAATGTCGTTCTCTTGCCTCATGTTGCGAGTGCCACGGTGGAGACTCGCAACGCCATGGCTGACCTTGTCATTGGAAACCTTGAAGCTCATTTCATGAACAAACCACTTTTGACTCCAGTTGTTTAACTGCCGTCAAAGGTATGTGGATACTGAGATTTGTTGAGGCCTTCTATATGTAGCTGGCACTCCATAATCGATTGTTCAGCCTGGCAAATTGAGGTAGAAATGCTTGCAGGGGTAAAGGAACCGCCTCGCTTCGATACTGTAATCTTCATCTTTTTAGCGTTTTTAAGACTGGAAACTATCATTTGCTTTCCAACCATGGATGATTGGTGGTGCAAACTATGGCTCCATTAGTGCTTTAGTAGATATGTTGACTTGGTTGTTTCATTTGCGCTCTTACCGCTGACTAGCATGTCCCAATGATCCTGGAGCAACTGTAAGTTGTCTTCGGTGTTGGAACAAATAAGAGTCTTCTCGTTCTGTCCACCGCTAGTTGCAAAAGTAGTATGTTCTATTGCAGAAAAATGCTTTGACAATGGACATGGTGCGGCTGAAATCAGGGTAGTCATCAATCGTCCCCATACATAGATTTTGATTGCCAATGTATGGTGTGTCCTGTCCATAGGATAATATGGACTGTCAAAGTTACCCTTTTCCAGGGCATTGGAGAGAATTAAAATCACTCTGTTCTTGGCTTATGAGTATACAGGATCAATGCGCCTATCTGATGATGAATTTCGGCATTATTTTGTTGATTGCATGAGCTTGGGGTGTATGCTTTCTCTCTATGCACGTGATGAAGTCCAAGAAAATCGTGGCACCATGGCAAGGATCCGACTAAAAACCTCTTAATAGGTTCTTCTGAACATTGATGTCGACCTATGTTTTTTGGATATTGCAAATGCATTATGCCCTTTAGTTTAAGCATGGTTCTAACCTCGAAATGCTGTGACAAAAACCATGGGGGAGGGAAGTACCGAAACCGTCAGGCTCAGAGTCCATCCCGCCGCGACACAATCCTCAATCTTGGTGCAAATGTAGTTCTGTATCGATTAAAAGAAATTGCAAGAGCATAAGGAGGCTAAAAATTCAATAGTCTTTCATAAATCTTTGTGATACGGCTGACAAAGCAGATGATCTCATGTTTATATGTCATACCAATTGGGCGCCGAGAATAAGTCAATTCCTCGTAGTTATTCAAGGTTGATTGAAGACAAGTGCAACTCCAGAGCCGAAAACACATTGTACTTGCTGCTTCTTTTATTGTATAACACCGAAAATATATTGAATTATATGTGCAGAAACTGTCTATGTAGACGTTTGGGAATGTGCTTAAAAATGGGCTGATGAACAGTTTAGAGGGTGAATGCTGTCATAAGTCTCATTGTGTTTCCTTGCTTCTTCTAAACATTATACAACTTCGAAGGCATTTGCGAGGTTCCTCGTACCCCCCTCCCAAAAAGAAATGAAATACTCACATACAGAGAGAGAAAGAAAGCGCTTTCTTTGCGAGGTGGGTCTCGGTTTGTTCCGATTTTTGTGGAATTGAAACGCATCTTACCTTACATCAGATAAGTTATCCAAAAGCTACGAAGAAACTTAAAGCCAGCTCATCAGCAGCCACAAACAATCTTAAGTGGCTTCCTCCTCCATGGACATTTCATCGTCGTCGTCAACACTTTATCAGTAGCTGAAGCAAATCAATTGGACAGGGTGAAGATCATTTCCCAGAAAAATATCATCAGGAAAGGTCTACCCATCATCCTTTTCTTTTCTCAGAGATACATGCAAAAAGCACAACACAGATGCCCCTCCAAAAGTTCAGAAAGCATTTAAAGCCCATCTCTTTCTATGCTCTCGCTCTCTCTCTTTTTCCCAAGAAGCTAGGTAACAAAAAGAAAAGGAAAATCTTAAAGCTATTTGACACGTCGAGAGTTATGAGCCAATGGCACCTTTCTCCCCCTCTCAAGGCTCTCATATGATGCTAAAGCATGAGCATACAGGGTTCAAGAAGAAGCCCCTTTGAAGATGAGGAAGCTGATGGTCTCCAAAGTGAAGTATATGAAAGTCCCTTTTGAATGAGTGAAGAAACACCCAAAGTTTGAGCCCACCACACATTGCCATCCTCCCCCATATCTGCTATCAAAGTCCTGTCATATTTTCACACACGCAGGAAACCCAGAATTTAAAATAAGATAAGAAAAAAACCAGGAAAACACAGAAAGCTGCCCAAAACTCTCTCTTCTCACCTTTCTAACACTCTTGAATAAATGGCAAAACCTGTGGAAACGAAAAGGAAGTACCTTTTTTATGTGGGCTGCGATGGATTTGTAGTCAAAGACATCATACAGATCCAAAGCTTGAGAAGCGCAGGCCATGGCTTGGATCTGCATCTTCACGGGCATATCTGTGTCCTCAATCAAAGCCTTCCCTTCCAACATCTTTCCCTTCACTTTTTCGTCGAGCTTTCCTTGCAGTTCTCTCTCCTCCCTATATATTTCTCTGAACCCAGTGCGAGAACGATGAAATCCTTTTTTTGAGGGTCTCGAAGTCTCCCGTGCTTTGCCGAACCAACTGGGTATTTATGACATTGGCAGAAGAGTTGCCTGTAGCGGTTCCAAGTGTAATTGAGTCATAAGAAGAAGGCAACTTTAGCTGGCACATACAATAGTCCAACTCTTCATTTCACTTCATATTTATCCACTCTTTCTCTCCTGACTTTATGGGCCTCTTTACTTTATTCTTTGATTCACTCTGCTCTCTCCACTGTGTCTGATCTGATGTCTTGTCCACGAGGATAACAATGGTAAGGCTCAGCATTAAAGCAGGGGAATCATCGGAATGGGTGTGGGCTTTCTTGGAGTTTTCTGATTTTTGTCTATGAGAGCAAAACGACAATTTGTTTTGGATGCAGAGGATATTGATCGATTTGGTGGGTTGCTTTAAACAATTTTTTTTTTCAGCAATCTAACAATTTGATACAAAATTTAAAAGGATTAATATCACGAAAAATTCTAAACTAATAAAATGATAGCAATTTTGTTCAAAATTAATTTTTTGATCACGAAAAATCTTAAATTAGTATATTTGTGATAAATTTACTCAAAACTAATTTTTTTATCATAAAAAACTCTAAATTGACACGTTTATGATAAATTTACACTTTATTAGTTTTCGTTAAATAGGATTAATATCACAAAAAACACAAACTGATACACCCATGATAAACGGAGGGTAAAACCCCAAACTGGTGCCATTTAACTCAGCAATTTGACGATAAAATTTAACGAAAACTAACGAAGGGTAAATTTATCACAGGTGTACAAGTTTCGAGTTTTTTGTAGTGAAAAAATTAGTTTTTGATAAATTTATCACAGATGTATCGGTTTGGAGTTTTTTGTATTATTAACCCAACTTTAAACCATTATTCAGGAAGAGCGTGAAGAAGAAATGGAGTGTGCATATGAGTAAATTAAAACTAGTTTACAAATAATTTCTTTTTTGGGGAAATAAAAAATCGAATTGAAAAGATTATCTAGATTCTAATATATATTTTAAGCTAGACAGTTGTGGATGGCATGTAGTATACTCTCTGTACCTGAAGTTTGAACATTTAAATAGATTTCCACTCTTTTGCACGTTAGTATACGCGCATGCACGACGTCTGCTTCCTTATTAAAATAGTGAAAGCATTCGACCAAAAAAAAAATAGTGAAAGCACAACTGAAGTTTGATCAATATTTAAATAATAATAATAATAATAAACATTGCTTAGCCAAGATAAATAATAATCTTGATAGATTCTCAAAAGTCATCACTATACTTGCTGCTTGTGGCATTGATTCCTTGTGTCTCTCTCTTACGTGGATTTTTTCGAGGTTGTGATCATCATAAGCTCAATGGTTTCAATTATTAATTAAAAATTCAATAAGATGATCGATCGCCAATTTAAATCGAAAGTAAATGGATTCTACTATATCTTGAAGCGTCGAGGGCTATGAAAGTTTTGATTTACTAATAATGTCCGAGCAATAGATTTGAAATAAAAAGGAAATTACATCAAATTTTATTAATCAGAATAGATGGCTTATATTCTTGAAAGCAGGGGTGAGTAAAAGGAACCGCTCGAATAGAACCGAATTGGCCGATTTTTGGTGGTTCCCATGGGCACCGATTTAGTTCCTGATTCCATACAATAGAAACATGTGAATTTCGGTCCGGTTCCAGGTCTAGAACCACCCACCTAGACCACTCAAATCGGACTGATTTTTTTATTTTTAATTTATATTTTATATTTCTCACAAATATGAAAAATCCCTAATATTTTCACAAACCTCGCCTTTTCACGCTTCTTCCCAAATCTTTAACAAAACCCTCATCGCCATTCTCGCGCTCACACCTCTTGCGCTCGACTGAGTTGCTCTCTGTCTCTCGCTCCACTCTCAATCTCGCTCAACTCAGTTACTCTTAGTCTTGCTCGACTCTTATATGCCACTTCTTGCTTGAGTTGCGACGCCTCCCTCTTGCGGTCTCATCTCGAGTCTCAACTCTCGCCCTCCACTCTTGCTCTGTTTTTGGCCTATCGTGATCGTGATCGCAATCGCATCTTATTGAGATAAATATCCAATGCTCTGTTTTTTTTGTTTTTTGCCATTCTTTGTACACCATTGGAGACAGTGGTTGCGTTTGATCATATCGACTATCAAGAACTCTTGACAACATCCGGAATGTGCTGCATTGATCATTTCGTATCTCTTTGGTTTGTACATTTCCTTTCTTGCCCAAAGAGCCGAACTGATGTCCCATTCTATTGATGATGCTTCTCACTGTCTTTTCAAGAGAGAATCTTCCAATTACTATTATTGCAAGTTCTCTTATTCTTTTTCTGGCACGTGTCTTCTCATTATCAATCCTGCAATGGATTTAGATTATGGATCGCGTGTTTAAAAAAAATACATGCCACTCGTGCCATTTATTACTCACTCGAGAGCCGGCCGGTCCGATTTCAAGATCACATGATTCGCTTCTCGATTTCAAAAATTGGAAACTGATTTTCTTGGATGGGAACCAAATCATATGGGAATCAATCATCCCTGCTCGAAAAGCATTGATGCTTGATGACTGAAATTGATGATTGCAATGTGCGGAGAAAGTTAAAACCTTACAAAATACGATTGTGATGCTTTTATGAACAAAGATAAATCTTGAAACGAGGTAAAATAATCTAATTTGAAATTCAAGTTCAAACTCAGACAACATCTGATCTAATCTAATATGCTCTACTACAAGTGATCTTCGTATCTTCACAGCCATTCTTATGTATTTGTGATGATGATTTTTTTTTTCTGTGTTGTACTTCCTCTTTGATTTTCTTTTTATCTTAAAATGGATCGCTCTATTTTGATCTTCCTCTACAAAGAAATCTTTAATATCTAGACCTGCACGCTACTCTATAATTATTTACGATTGCTCCCGATTCATTATCAATAATTATTATTCCAATTGATGTGTCTTCCTTGACTCAATCTTTTAATTTTTGTGCATGCTTCGAGTCGATTGATTGTCGGTTCTCACTACTTTTATTTAAATTTTTCATGTATTTCAATCAAAGAAATTATTGATTGCTTTTCTCATGATAAGTATATGGATTAGCTATCAGATGAGGAATTTATGTAGATTGGATGGGAAATTAGTTAAGTTTTATGGTAGTGTGCCCACAATACTCAAAATTATAAGCTATGAGTTAAAATACAAACAATTAAAATATTTCCCTTATATAGAAGAAAAAATATATTTAAGTACATAAGGTCATTGATATTTTAGAGTGAAAATTGTCAGAAAAGCCGCAAACCTATTTTATGACGGCCAATTCAGTCTTAAACATTTCATTGTCAATTTAGGCCTAAACATTTTGATAATTTGCTAATGTAATTCCTCCGGCCAATTTCGGGCGAAAATGCCAACATGAAAGTCGACTGTCCTACATGACACAGTTAGTGCTAACGTGGACGATTTTTGCAAATCTCTTTCATGAATTTTTTCTTTTCTATTTTCTTTAGTTATTTTTTCAACTCTGGATCGGTGAGGGTCACTCGCCCTTGCCGGCCACAGGCGAGAGGGTCAACAGGCAACCTCGCCGGCCTAGAGTTGAAAAAGAAAATAAAAAAGATTGTTAAAATTTTCTACATAAATGCCAGCCACGGGTCGGAAGTCAACGTCAGCAATTTCAAGTCAAAATTGACTAAAATTAACTATATTGACAAATCATCAAAATGTTTAGCACTAAAAATCGACAAAATTATAAGATTTAAGAACGAATTAACCATCATAAACTTACCATTTCTTTTTGGTAATTTTGCCGTATTCTAATAGCAATTTCGCAAATACCTTGGTGCAAGCTCTCTAGCTCGCTCTCTCTGTTCACAGCTCCCAATCACCGGTGCCTCTTCTCTCGATTGAGCTCAACCAATAGTAGAAATTCCGTCGAAACGCTGTGTTTGTTCTAGCCCTCGCGTCGCATTCTCGTCCTCGTTTCTCCGTACTCAGCTCTCCATGCGCGGGTCCTGAAGTGACCACCCACTTTGGGCTCCATTCGGCCGACGGCGAATGGTTTCCGACCGGAGGCTTCGATCGATCAAGCTGTAGAGCGGACTGGAGCTTCAATGGATGAGCTTATTTTCCGACACAGCGTCTTGGGTAGTGAGTGAACTCCTTATTTAACGTAATTTGTTCGGGGGGAGTGGGACTCTCTTTGTTGTCTTGTTTGATGCGAATGTGTGCATAGTTTTCTGATTGTGTTTGAAAGTGTGTAACGCCGTTTGGAAGTCGAATTGCAATTGCCTGTGTAGTTATTCGGCGATGGATCTGGTGTGGGGGGTTTTTGTCAAAATCTCAGCTTTGGCTGGGGGAGATGTACGGATTTTACATGGAATTTTTTTTTGATCGAAAAGTAAAATATTTCATTAATTAACTAACGGAAGGATAACATAAGTTATGGGTTTCTGAATATAAAAAATCCCGTAGAAATAATGATGATTTTACAAGTCAATCTTGCAGTAGGGCTTTCTTGCGATGTGTTTTGATTAAGAAATCTGCCACTTGATTTGATTCGCGTGGATTGGAGACAAGCTCTACTGCTTTTAACCTAGACAGCTTTTGTTGGCATTCTTCAAGGATGGCCTGAATCTCCCACGGGCCCGGATGTCCACCAAAGATAAGCTGTCAGAGCTCACCACCACGTGCAGATCAACACTTCTCTGCAGATCAGTTTTGCTTTTCCACATATCAGTTTCATCTTCTAAGTACAATAGAGCCGCATGCAAAGCTAGGGTTTCGATTCCATCACCGAGGAGGCTACCACGCTTTTAGCAAAACCACCCACAACTCTCCCAGTAGAATCTCGGCAGATCCCGGCAACGGCACCCACCCTCTCGCCTTCGACGATTGACCCGTCGATGTTTAGTTTTAATCCGCCGGTCTCTGGAGGAGTCCACGAAACAGGTGAGTTCCCCTTTCGCTTTTCTCTGTTGATCACTTTGGGGTTCCAACGCTTGAAGTTTTTGTCTAAGGCACATGCTTCGTCGACTATCAAGCTTGGATCTGGACTTCGATTCTGAAAGATGACTCTGTTTCGAGCCAACCAAATTTTCCACAATACCCCGGCGACCAGCTCAGGTGACGGTAAGTCTGTATTTTGTAGCAAAATTTCCAACAGCCACCTGTCGATTCTAGTAATTCCGTAGCGAGAGATATGTATTTGCAGTCGGTAGTCTGACCAAACTGCTTTTGTCCAGTCGCAAAGTAAGAAGAGATGCTCCACTGACTCAGGGGTTTGGCTGCAAACAGGGCAAAGGGGATCTGGCGTTATTGTTCTCTTGCACAGGTTCTCACGAGTTGGTAAGCTATTCTGGCACACACTCCAAATGAAGTGCTTGATTTTTGGCATGGTATTGAGGTTCCAGATTTTCTGCCATAAGGATTTGGGAAATTGATACGAGGAGGAGGCCTGGTTGTGATTCTGCTGATATTCTGATGGCTGCATTCTGTTATAGGAGTCTTTTACAGTGTATTTCCCCATTTTATTCCCTGCCCACACTAGCACATCTTCTTTGGGGTAGAGCTCAGTGGTATAGCCGTGATTTCCTCTACTATATGCTCGCTAAAAAGAGAATTCAGTTTCTGTTCATCCCAGCATCTTTGTCTCCTTTGCACCATTGTGGCATGAACAAACTTGGTATTTCTATCTCCCCAATTCAGCCAGTTGATGCGAGATCTTAATCCCCAATACAGTTCCTCCTGCCTCCATAGCTTTTCGATTTTCCCCTTGACAGCCTGAATTTTGTCTTTGGTAGATTCTCCCGATCTCCTATTTGTGAGTGCCACTAGCTGTTTTTTTAGATCTTCAATTTGGCGATACACATTGGAAAACTTTTGACGACTCCATGTAGATAGGGCCTTGGTAACTTTTTCTAGTTTAGCTGCAACTTCCCCCTGCTGGGAGTGTGTGTCTAGCCAGGCTTTGGTAACAATTTTATCATATTCTGTATCATCCACCCAATAAGCTTCAAATTTGAACTCTTTTTTTCGTGCTTCATAATTTGGGTAGAGCGAAAGAAGGATTGGACAATGATCGGAGCCAATGGCCGGTAGTGCAAAAGCTTCCGCAGTTGGGAACGAAACCCTCCAATCTAATTTACTGAGCACTCGGTCGAGCCTTTTTTTTACCAAGTCAACCCCCTCTCTATTGTTGGACCATGTAAACGCACATCCCTTACTTTCAATGTCCAAAAGTGAGCAGTCATATAGAAAATCTCGAAAAGCAACTTGTCTGTAGTAATCCGCTTCTCTCTTTCCCTCTTTCGCCCAATTGTATAGAACTTTGTTGAAATCACCCAGGCAAACCCAAGGAAGGTGGTTGGAGTAATGTATGGCTCTCATATGTTGCCATAGGTGCAATGTCTCCCGGAAATTAGTAGAAGCATGCAGAAAAGTGAGTCTCATGGCTGTCCCGCTTCTCGGTTCTTTGCAAATTACGTCAATAAACTCAGCCGAGCTGGCAACTACGTTTGGGGAAACCTCATCATTCCAAAAGAGTGCTAAGCCCCCGGCGATACCTCTCGGTTCCACCACCTTCGAATGCTGAAAATTGAGTCGCCTACGAATACTGTCCACCATCATCTCTTTATTTTTAGTTTCCATCAAAAACACCATAACGGGCCTTTCTTGAGCCACAATGGCTCGCAGTGACTGGAATGTCAGGGGTGTGCCCAACCCCTGACAATTCCAGCTCAATAGCTTCATTTAATCGCCGGTGGCTTATTAGGGCTAGCCACCACAGCCCACTCACGCCCGTCTTCAGCCATATGAATAGGGGTTTCCAGCAATAAAGATTCGTCTAGAGACTTGGAGCTTGTTCTACCCAATCCATATGGGTTGTACCTCCTTAGTTTCTTGGTAGGAGGGGGTTTTTTCCCCGCTTTACCTTTCTTCCGCCACCCTTCTTGTACATCCATGCCTACATTGATGAAAATTGTATCGAACACATTTTAGTGGCCGGGTTCGGCGGGCCGGCGGCCGCCACCAGCCCCACGTCGTGCGGTCGATCTCTTTTTATGATGGAGTTGCTCGTTATTGTTTTCTGTGTTGGCACTAATGATTGTACTCCGAACTCATTCGAGTGCAGTGTGCTTCCTGATGAATGTCTTCAAGCAGGTATTACCGGCCAAACGCCGTATTGCCGGTGCCTTCAAGTATGGTGCAGGTGAATTCCTACTTCTAGTCGTGGCTGGGATTTTGAGAGAATGATTTTTTTCTGGTAGTCCACCCCATTGCCAAGAATTTTTCTTGATTTCAAATCTGTCGTTGTATGCTTTGTGTTTGGAGAAGAAGAGAAGTTCGACCTAATTGACAGTCGCACTAATCGGCTCTTCTCAGATGATAGGTAGCTGACGTAAAGTGTCTTTTGTTTTATAATATGATTTTTGGTTGCGTAACGTCTTGTATAATCTGTTAGTACTGGATATTCACCGCTAATCGGCGCACCTCCTTTTTGATAGTTCTCTAAGAAATCTAAATTTGTAACCTTGCACGTATGCTCGTAACAGAAGCTTTCATCTCGGCAATAAGCATGCGGTGCATGGCACTTGTTGTTGGATGTTTTCTGGTCGAGTTCCTCATCATGACTTTCTTTGCAGCATTCTCCTTATGCTTCCGCCGCTCGTCCTCGGATACCGTCATGGAGGTTCATTCTCAAGAGCAGGAAGTCATAATCGCTCTAGGCAGCAATGTGGGTGACAGACTCAACAATTTCAACGAAGCTTTGGACTTGATGAAGAAGTCTGGTCTACGCATTACAAGGCATGGTTGTTTGTACGAGACAGCGCCTGCTTATGTCACCGATCAACCTCAGTTTCTGAACTCTGCAGTGAGAGCCGTCACAACTCTCGCTCCCCATGAATTACTACACCAACTTAAGAAGATCGAAAAGGACATGGGTCGCACAAATGGGATCAGGTATGGCCCGAGGCCAATTGACCTGGACATATTGTTCTATGGGAAGTTTAGAATTAACTCTGACACACTTGTAGTCCCTCATGAGAGAATATGGGAGAGACCATTTGTGATGGCTCCGCTGATGGATTTGATTGGATCAACTGTTGACAGTGATGTAGTGGCGTCTTGGCATTCTCTGTCGATGCATTCAGGCAGTCTTTATGAATCGTGGAATAAACTGGGTGGTGAATCTTTGATTGGGAAGGAAGGACTCAAAAGAGTTTTACCTATAAGAAATGACCTCCTTTGGGACTGGTCGGAGAGAACATTTGTGATGGGTGTTCTCAACCTAACGCCAGATAGTTTTAGTGATGGAGGGAAGTTCCAAAGCGTGGAAGCTGCGGTTTCCCAGGTCCGTTTGATGATTTCGGAGGGGGCAGATATGATTGATCTCGGGGCCCAATCTACCAGACCTAGGGCAGATCGGATTTCTCCAAGAGAAGAATTAGAGAGATTGATTCCAATTTTAGAAGCTGTCCTGGAAATGCCTGAGATGGAGGGGAAGCTCATCTCCATTGACACATTTTACTCGGAAGTCGCTTCAGAAGCAGTGAGCAAGGGGGCACATATCGTAAATGATGTATCCGCAGGGACGTTGGACAACAACATGATTCCTGTTGTCGCTGATCTTAAGGTTCCTTATGTTGCGATGCACATGAGGGGGGATCCGTCTACTATGCAAAATAGAGAAAACCTCCAATACGACGATGTGTGCAAGCAGATTGCATCCGAGTTGTTTACTAGAGTGAAAGATGCCGAATTATCTGGTATACCAGCTTGGAGAATAATCGTGGACCCAGGAATCGGATTCTCAAAGAACACTGAACATAATGTGGACATCCTCGTGGGATTACCAGCCATTCGAGAAGAACTTGCGAGAAAAAACTTGGCTCTCTCTCATACCCCTTTACTGATAGGTCCTTCTAGGAAAAGATTTCTAGGTGACATTTGCGCTCGTCCGATTGCCCCGGAGCGCGATGCAGCAACGGTTGCTGCTGTCACTGCCGGAGTACTTGGTGGTGCAAATATCGTAAGGGTTCATAATGTCAGAGATAACTCAGATGCTGTGAAGCTCTGTGATGTGATGCTGAAAAGGAGGAGCTCCACTGCATAGTACATCCGGCCTGCTTCTGTCCATCGATTTAGGGTGTGTATTTTTCGGGAAAACTTCGTGATAATGGAAAATGCTTTTCGAGAAATTTTATATAGACATTTTCTCATTTTCAGGTTAGGGAATTCATTTTCCTAACTTTAAGCATGTATATTTTCTTTGACCGTAAATGGTTTTCTGTTGATTGATCATTTTCAGTAAATCAAACACGTGAAAGTTCATAAAACTAATTCGCGGAAAATTCTTTCACTCAAACAAAAACATCCTTATTTCAAATGTTCTGTCTTGCTTAGCATAGTTGACATTATGGGATGGATTCTTTTTTCCATGTAAAAGCAAAGGAATGGGCTATTGTACAAACCGAAGGTGTTGAGATCACACTGTGAAAACAGACACTTCGATGTTCAAGCAAGTTGAAAAAAGAACTCCATTTACGGGCTGTTTTCTAAACTAAGTTAAATTGCTTTGCTCTTTATAATGAGCAATTCATTGTTAAGAAGTCATTGATTATGAGCGAAGTCTATCTCCAATTTTCGCTGCGCTAAAGAGAAATAAACAGGCCGTCTCGCAATTGCTGCTGGAGGCTCTAGTTAAGAACACGCCCTATGATATAGTTGTAGCGCATTTGCATGAGCAACTGTTGGTCTGTTAAAACTCCAAGAACCATCTTCTTCACAAATCAATCTTCTCTATATGGTTTTGGTCACGCCGCAAGGCTTGGTGTTAGCAATAGCTTGAGGATTATCGCTTTCAAACTTTTCTTCAGCCATGGGCTTTCCTTCCGGTGGATTCTTCAAGATTGTGAGGAGCTGAACTTCGTTGTGATGATCCTGTTGCTGAGTTTAGTACAAAAGCGTATCAGGTACCCACTCAAAGGCCATGTGAACTGTCATGACATATTGATCTGCTACAGAGCACTGGACACTCCACTGCAGTTATTTAATGGGATTTGTGGGAGTGTACAGCATTAGTACTACATGGTAAAGCAGCTGTGTGTGAAACCGTGTGCACACGGATGGTCTGCCTTTGATCGGACCGGAGTGGTAGACTTAGTCAGGTGTAAGTCATGATATTGCCTCATTGTGATATGAAAAGGAAGAAGAGAAGGAAGAATTTTTCTTTGTGGAAATTAGTTTAGGCCCCCACGTAGTTTCTGTTTGTTATAAATTATTGCTAGTTGATTGAAGGTTCGCCTTAGTGGAAGTGCACCACTACATGATCTTTCTCTTTGTTTATGTATTTACTTGTTTGCATATTCAGTTTGACTTGTGACAGGATTTGCATTCAGACGAGCTTATTCACTGATGTTTTTCTTTTCCTTTTTATCCTTGCTGTGTTAGCATGTTGGTGGAATTGGCCGTAATTACTAAGCTATATGGCTGGAATTTACGTCGATATAGTGTTTCTCTTGACCGGTGCAATGGTTGTATGGCGATTGTATTGAGTTATCTGAATTTGATTATGGAACAGGGAAGAAATAGTGATCTGGGCAAGGAAAAAGACTGGGGTGCCTGTTATTAGGATAAACTCGGTGACTGAAGCAGAAGAGTTTCTTAAGAAGTATCATATGTTCGCCATTGGTGTATTTGAGAAATTCAAGGTACAATTTCATTTTTATGGAAGTGATCGGATTACTTTATGAAACAGACTGTTTGACATATGGAAGTAAAGTTGGCTGTAGCTGGTCCATTTTTTCGTTTATTATTCCTTTCAGATACTGTCATTCTTTCTCCTTTAAGGTGCAAGTTACAACCTGATCTTTGAACTTTGCTTAGTCAAACTTTTGACTCCACTTGAGGTTTCATGGATGCCATATTGAAAGTTGTAGCCCATCGGTTTGCTTGGTTTGGTTGCATGTGTGCCAGTCCTTAGTTTAAATTGACCTTTAACAGAAAAACTCTATGTCAATACATATTCTTACGTGTTGATGCTTTGCAACTATATCTCATTGCTGTCTGCTAATTGATAATTAAAGATCATGTTGTTTCTCATTACTTTCACTCACCCGGAATACAATTCTCCCTGCAGGGCCCTGCTTATGAAGAATTTGTTAAAACAGCGACAGCTGACAATGAAATCCAATTTGTAGAAGTTAGCAACATTGAGGCTGCCCATGTTCTTTACCCTGACATCGACTCTTCTAGCTTTTTCCTGGGCATTGTCAAAAGTGAGCCCGAAAGATATGCTGGATATGGTAGGTAGCAACTTCTTTTACAGTTGAGTTCTGAATGCTCAATCTGCCGTGGTGTTCCTATAAAAGCTTAATGCATGTATGGTTGCCTTTATTCCAGGGTGCCTGCACTTCTAATAAAATAGTGGACATGTAAAACAAAGCTTGATCCCCTTTTTTCTGACAATTGTGACCAAACCTCACAAGTACACTAAAATTTGATTATGCAGAAGGAGCCTTTGAAATGGAAAAGCTGCTGCAGTTTTTGGACCATAACAAATTTCCGTTAGTTACCAAATTGACTGAACTTAATTCCATCAGAGTTTACTCCAGTCCCATAAAACTCCAGGTGCTGTTTTACGAGGACTTGATTATGCCTTTTCTTAACCTTTACTTTCTTTATCCTGCTTTGGTTTATTTCCATATATGAAGTATGTCTCAGTTAAAAGCTTGGAGAGTTTGGTGTGCCATGTTTTTTTCTTTTTTCCTGTGTTCTTGGTTAACCCCATTTCATCAGTTCTTAATACAATATTCAGCAGCAACTGCACTGATTGATATCTTAACATATTTGAACTCTTAAGCTTTGCACTTGGTATGAGAAAATAACCATGGAGAATTTCTCTATTGACTTATCAGTGACATGTATCCCTTTTCCCTTTTCCAGCTTTTCGTGTTTGCTAAGGCTGAAGACTTCAAGGATCTTCGTGAGCCTCTTCAAGATGTGGCAAGAAAATTCAAGTCAAAGGTACACAATTCGACTGATATGAATTCTCATGACTGGTTTTCACAGCATGACACGAGGCAAAGCACCGAATACGAAGAGAAAAGCTCTTTTGACATGACACCGTACACTTTAACACTTAGTCTGATTCAAGTTAACATGTTTCCAACTTAAGTCGAACAATTTGACTTGTTAAACAAAGGTAAGAGGTTTTGATGGTAATATGGATGGACACGAATCACAAACATGATTATGACACACTGACATGAATCGCCAAGCTGACTATTGAGTGACCATAATTTACTGTGATTAAACTTTTTCCCTTGGTGGCAATGGTTTTCTAACTCCATTTTGGGATATAGATAATGTTTATCTATATCGACATTGCAGACGAAAACCTAGCAAAGCCCTTCTTAACTCTGTATGGACTTGAAGACACAGAGGACACCGTGGTTAGTTTCCTATTACTTCACAGTCAATTCGAAGGACCTTTGTTATGGACCTACGAATTAATGGAATTTTGTTTTCTTTTGGCATGCCTAACTAGGTGGCTGCTTTTGATAACAAAATCAGCTCCAAGTATTTGTTGGAGACAGATCCAACACCAGCCAATATAGAAGCAACCTCTTTGTTTTTTGTGGTTGTTCTCTTGGAAACTGTCCCTTACCTGCTGGACTAAGAAGTTTATCTGAATTTGCTTTCATAGGATTTCAGCTCAAAATTTCTCCAGGGTTCATTATCTCCTTACTTCAAGTCTCAGTCAGTACCAGACAACGTGAGTATGCTTATTTAGTTTGACCAAGAAGCTATGGGAAAGTTCGTCCATGCATCAGTAGCCCCTAATGTCATTTGCACTAGTCTCTTATCTACTCGATGTCTATAATAGTCTTGGGGCCTAATAGCATAAAAGTTGCATATGCCATTTGCAATTGCATGTATCAATTAGACTTCCGCAATTTTCTTTGGATGCAAAACCAGCTGAAACTAGGTTATGCCAAATAACACAATCCGCTGCAAACTTAGCAGTTCTTCTCTTCCTCGAAGTTGTTTCCAGGTTTTTATTCTGTTACTTTTGTAATGTCCTGCTCTGATGATCATGCGTAAATGCAGCAACAATCATGCAAGAGTCGTGAAAAGTAAATATCTCTGTCTGTATGTTTTATGTAGATTAATCAGTCTAACATTTTGTTATAGAAGTACTAACGGTTAATCTGTTTGCCGCCATCAGCTTACTGGACATTGTGCTTGTGCATTTGTTTTTTTCTACTTACTTATGGTATTTAATTCATGCTTTCGATTTTGCAAATAGCAGAAAGAGGCAAGCATCCAGGTCGTTGTGGGAAAGACATTTGATGACATAGTTTTGAACAGTCCCATGAATGTCTTTCTTGAGGTACGTGTTCTTCATCTTTCATAGCTTAGTTTACTTCACTCATTTGGTTGGCTTATCTAAAGATGATCTGGCTGTGCAAGAAGCACATATCATATGCTAACTACAAGTCCCAACGCCTGCTTTTTAGTTGTATACAGTTTATGAAAGTCACTTGCGCGATTTCAAAGTATGATCCAGTCAAATATTCTTCTCTTTAATGACCAATATGAAACAGCCACAGCAAACGACTCTAAGCATTGCTGTAAAAATCTCTTTTCACAGGTTCACACGCCTTGGTGCATCAACTGTGAGACTACAAGCAAGCAAAGTAGAGAAGTTAGCTAAGCACTTCAAAGATTTGAATAATTTGGTTTTTGCGAGGATCGATGCTTCTGCAAATGAACATCCAAAATTACAGGTAGTTAACCTGTTCTTGTCACGATGAGTAGAATTTACTAGTCTCTCCAAGGGTGAATTTTCTAAGTAAATTGGAAATTTACATATCGAGTTATTGATGAAGTGCATGTATAAAATCATGCTTGGAATCAAAAACATTTTGGCTGCCAGATGAGATGGCTGATGTCGTGATAGACAAACGATGATTCTTAAAAGCGGCTTGTCCTTATAAAGCAAACAGAGTTCGAACTTTTGTAACAGTGTGGGGCGTTACTTAACATTAGTGATATTATAACGTAACGAGCTACCACTCTTTCCTGGAAAGTTGCATATTTAGAGTATATTTGTCTCCGCAGGTGGTTGACTATCCGACGCTCCTATTTTACCCTGCAAGTGACAAAGCCAATCCGGTAATATATGTCCCCCGAAAAGTTTATTAATTAGTTTTGCCGCTTCAAGTCGTCTGATGCATGATATACTGTTTTTGC